CAGACAGAGCTGTCGGCGATTCTTCCTATTGTAAAGTCATGCAGTGTGTAACCTCCCGCCGTCGTTCCATCGTGCAGTGTGAACACAGCAACAACTGAATGCTACTCCAGATAGTCGTTCAGTATGAAACCAACAGTGATGTGACGTCTTTGAAAATCGTGCAGTGTGAACTCGGCATTAGCTCGGTTCGTTTGGGCATATGTGAGCATGGCAATCGCGCTCGGATCCGCGCCAAAACAATCGGTCCGAGAAAGTTCCGTGAAAAGCATTAGCTTTGTTGTTTTGCTAATACCTCAAAATGAACCTGAATGTCTGTGGGTGAACACGTCTTTGCCATTCAAAAATCGCACTTTTTTATTTTATAATGCCGTCTTATTGCTCTTCTTTGTAGTAAGGTGCATTTTAAAAATGTTTTCCAAATCAATCCTGGACTCCTGCTCAAAATGCTAAATTATTATAACGACAACTATAAAAAACCCAACAATAAGCCCGCGAAGCTGTTATCGTTCCATCCTGACGGATCCAGTAAAAATCGCATTGGGGGGTAAAATACACATTGTTTTGGCGGGGTTCTCCTGGTACAAGTCACATTCCAGGGCCTAAATATCACGTTATTGGGGTTGCTTCAACCTGCTGACATAAAAAAAAAACGGCGGCAATCGCGGATTTGGTCCGCAAAATCGCGGATCTGGTCCGCAAACTACGGTTCATATAACTCCTCCCCGAACTTCCTGCTGCCCTGTATCTTGGTCTCTCATTGGCTGTAGGTCATCGCCGATGTGTTTTTCAGTCAGAACTCATTTCACACAGCGTGATTGTGAATCGCGACAGCTCCAGATATTTAGCATGCCAAATATTTCATGGGCGTCGGCGACGCATCGGCGATTCCCTCAGATCGCGTCTTTGATAATTCACACTGCGTGATTGTCACTCACGTGAACGAGCACCGATTTGCCTCCGATCTCGGGCATTTGTCGGCGATTTCGCAAAACCTGTCGGCGAGTGAAAAATCGGGCTAAAATCGTGCAGTGTGAACTCGGCATAAGCGAACTTGCGGACGCGTCGAGTATAAATCAGCCTTGAGCATGTGTGCGTTAGATACAGTGAAGACAGCGCGTTAGTTTAGAACTCTTCTAATTTTTTTTTTTGTCGTAGAGAGTGTG